AAATAAAAAGTAGTTGTTAAAACATTTGTTGTTTTCTTTTTAAAAATTACATTTTCTCTTTTAATTTCCAATGATGATAAATTATTTAATTTTAAATATTCATCAAAATATAAATCACAATATATATCTATATTTGTACCTCTAAATAAATTACCAACTCCAAATGGTGTATATATTAATGATACTCCTAATATATTAGTTGTATTTTGTAATAATTTTACACTTGGTTGACCTGTATTACTTAATGGTTTACAATATGAACTTTCAATTTGAAATGCAACTGATGATAATTGATCTCCTGAATTACATAATGAAAAATTTGTAACATAATTACATATTTGTAATATATATTCTTCTGAACTTTGTTCATTAATCACTTTATAATATCCATTAGTTGATGATGCATTTGTAACATCTATTATTTGTGTTGAATCTATATTTATATAACAAGCTTGTTGTCCTTTTACAATAATATTATTATTATTTAATATTATTGTAAATAATGTTAATGTTGATGAATATTTTAATGAGTGTGGTGATGTTAGTGATGATGATGTTGATGAATGTAGTGCTAGTGAAGATGATGGAAATGTATTATTAAATAAATCATGTATGATCATCATTGAACAATCAAATGATATTATTATAATTATTATTAATATTATTACATGTTTAATATATTCCGATAATGATTGTTTACAATGACTATATTTTAAACGATAATGATGATTCATCATAATTGAAGATAACAAGTTTGTCATTTTTTTATAAATTATTTGATTCTAATTAAACATTCTATTATTATTATTAATATCTAGATTCTACTTTAAAAGAACAATTCTGATTCTAATTTCAAAAATTCCAATGAATTAGATAATTTATTTAACATTTCTATCTTTCCATTTAGATGGTTTTAATTGTAAAGGTCTATTTCCTAAATATTTTCCATTTAAATTTTCCAAAGCATGAATATAATCATTTGAATCTAAAAAACTGATAAAACCAAATCCCTTAGATCTATTCGTTCTTTTATCTCTAATCACACAGGCTTTACTAAAACTTGGATAGGATTGAAAGAAAGTTGTTAACATTTGATCTGTTACTTCATTTCCTAAATTATTAGCATAAATTCTATAATCATTCTCTGAAAATTCATCCAATCTTGAATCTTCCCAAACTTCACTCTTTCCACTTGCTGTAAAAACTGTTCTCAAATTCTTCTTCTTTTTCTTATTGGAATTTTCAAGTTCTTGTTGAGCTTGTTCATGTTCTAATAATTCTTGTTGATATTGTTGTTGAATTTGTGATGATTCCTTCTTTCTTTGATAATCCATCATGTATATTTGTTTTTCAATGGAATTATCATCATTTGATTGATTATTATTATTTGATTGATTGTTATTTAACACTGCATTACTATTAATTATATTATTATTAGCAGATGATGATTTAGTGGTAGTACTATTGGGTTTAATACTTGTTACTGGAGTTGAAGTGTTTTTTAAGGATTTTTGTATTTGAGAGGCTACTTGTTTTCCAAGACCATTCACTGGAGCTGTAGTATTATGTGGTTTTTGAATTTTAGATAATTGTGGTGGTGGAATAGTAGAGGGTTGACTTTTTGTAGCCTTCGTTATTGTTGTTGGTGTAGGTGCAGTTTTACTAGGAGTTGATGAAGATGATGATGGTGGTACACTAGTAGAGGATGGTTGAGTTGATGATGGTAGTAGGGATGGAGTTGTGGATGTTGGAGGAACACCAGTCTTGTTTAACTTTTGTGCAATATTTTGTTGTAATTTTGCCAACTTGGATTGTAAATCATTAGCATTGGGTATCAGGGCTTTATTCACAACTGTTGTTGTTGGTTTACTAGATGGTGTCAATGCCGATGATGATGATGCTATTGATGATGTGGCATTGTTATTTGATGACATTTTTTAAGATTAAGAAAAATGACTCAACAAGAAAATACTTCACCTTCAACAACAACTAGCCTTTCCGAAAATGTTTCATCATCAACAACAACAATAACATCATCGGAATGTTTATCAATTGTAAATAAAAATGTAGTATTAGATAAAACTAATTTAATACAATCATTAATAGAACAACAACAACAACAACAACATGAAGATAAAAACCAATCATCATCACTTGCTAATCAATCCAATAATAAGAAGAATATAACAAGAATTAAATCATCAACATCAACATTTATGCAATCAGTTATTAGTATTCGTAATGAAATACAAAATATAGAATATGAAATACAATCATTTATTTCACATTTATTAAGAGAATCTAATAATAATGATATGAATGAAATATATTATGATGAAATTGATAAACAAATATTTGAAAGTAGTAATCATTTAAATTTATTAAAAAGTATTATTGATCAATCTAAATATTCATCTGATCAATATCATCAACAATTACATTATAAATCAATTATACAATTTTTAAATCATTCACTTAATCATTGTAAACATTTATTATCATTCACTCAAAATCTTAAAGATAGAAAAAAGTTTACAAAAAATAATCAATCACATTTATTATTTAATGAAAATGAAAATAATACTTTAGAGGAAGAAGAAATAACTAATGAAAATAGAAATGATTTTATAATACAACAAGAATTAATGAAACAATTATCATCATCAACAGATTTACAAGATGCACAAGATACAGAAATAACAGCAATTCAAATCAGTGAATTATTAACAGCCTTTGAATCCAAAGTAGAAGAACAAGGTGAATTAATGAACATGTTTGAAAATAATATTGAACAAGCAAATGACTGTATGGATCAAGCAAATGAAGAATTGAGAAAATTAAATAAGAAAGATGATACTAAATTACCATTTCCATATAATATTTTACCAACCTATGTCAGTCACTTTATCAAATATTTTGTTTCTTACTTGTTTGTTATATTGGGTTTAATCATTTTCATTTATGATAGAATAAAATTGTAATTTATTTATCTATTATTATTATACACAATTAGATAAAAGTTGAAAGGTTATCCATAGCTTTGAAGTGATATAGTATTGATGAAGATATTGATATCTTCTAGAAGTGAGTGAAAATACCTTTCAAAAGTTTTAGTGAAGCAAAGAAATGAATGTTTGAAAAAAATTAGCAAAAATAATTTGAACTTGTTTTGCTTTTTAATTTTCAAGGAGAGAGGAAATAATAACATAACAATCGGAAATGGCTAAAAAGAAGAAGAATACTCAACAACAACAATCTAATGGAGGAGAACAATCCGAAGCTCCAGTTGCTGCTACTACTACCACTTCTTCTAATCAAGTTGTAGAAGAAACAAAGCAACCAAATGCTCCTAAACAACAACCAAAACAGAAAAAGCCAAAACAAAAGCAACCACAACAACAACCTAATAATCAACAACAACCACAAGAGGGAGAAAGTGTTGTTTCTACTACTACTCCTCAACAATCTGCTCCAAAACAACAACCAAAGCAGAAAAAACCAAAACAACCACCACCACAACCTAAAAAGAAGGCTAAACAACAAAATCAACAAGAAGCCTCATCATCATCAGTTGTGGAAAGTGAAAATAAGGAAGTGGAAGGTAATGATAGTAGTACTACTATTACACCACCTCCACCACTTAATACAGAGTCATCAGTAACAACAACAGTATCAGCATCGACAGAACAACCTGCTGCTGCTAAAAAGAAGAAGAAGAAGAAAAAGAAGAAGGCTTCTACTACAAGTGGTTCAACCACTGAGGAATCTGCAACAATAACAACAGATAATAATAATACTGAAAATGTTTCTCAGCCTTCAACTATTGCTAACACTCCAACACAAGCATCAAATACTTCTAAACAAACAAAGTCTGCTAAAAAGCAAAAACAAAAACAACCTCAAAATCAATTATCTAAAAAACAACAACGTCATCAACATCAACAACAACAACAAGCAAATTTTCAACAACTTAAACAAAAGTTTGAAAAACCACTTCCAGCCTTTTTTGTTGCATTTGATTTATTAACAAATTTAGAACCAAGTAAATTACAAAAAGGTTTACAAATATTTATTGATGAAAGTGAAAGAATAATTTTAGAAAATATTGAAAATTTAAATGATGATACTAAATATAATTTAATACAAGTTTATCAATATCCAACAATACCTCATCCTGTATTTGTTGATAAATTTTCATCAAGTGATTTAACAAGTTCATATTTTTACAAACAATTTAAATATTTATATGATAAATCAAATAATGAATTGAAATTCATTCCATTTAAAGATAACAAATGTTATATTTATCAATTATATTATAATGATCAATTCTTTATTATTTTATCAAATATATTTAAATATATTTTGAAGAATTACCTAAAAAAGGAAATGAATATGGTGAAAAGATTTCACTTTTATTACAAGTTAAATTATTTACAGTAATTTTATACATGATGAGATATATTTTACCACAAGATTTTAATAATGAAAAATCACCAATTTTATTAAGAGCAAATCAATTTATTAATTTAGTATTACCATATTT